CTGATTGTGAAATGTCGACCCTTTTCATGTTACTATTGCACTATATGTTGCACAAATTGTTTCTATATACAATACAATAGTCTCTATATAGTCTGTAGGCAAACCCTGGAGATCTTGCCTCCGGAAGAAGAGCGGAAGAGCCCTGGTTTCCGGTTGTAGGCTGTTTGTAGTCCGCGTGATATTGACCAATCACATTTGAGCCGGCTGCAGTTGTTGCCAGGTTAAACGGTCCGTGCGGTGAACTAACGAGGCGGAACATAATTGGCAAACTCACTGCAAACTCTGAATCCATCGCAATGTTTCAGCATATTTACTTATATATAAACGGAAGTAGGAAACGGAAATTCACCTCCTCTGCCCAAATCAAACCGGAATGCCAAAAAATCGGGGGTCTGCCCCAGAGGCTGTTCCGCCATCTGCCGGAAGTCAGACGCTGAATACAGCCGATGGGTTCCGAGAATGCGTTTCCACTTACTAGTAACGTTAATGCTACTATCGAACGTTAGCACTGTAACCTTATTCTAAAACTCATCAGTCATCACTGACTCTGGTTGAGTTTTAAAACTCCGGGGTTACGTTTTACTGTCTTGGTTGTAACGTTACACTCACTCTCCTCTTCCATGTATCTAATGTTACCTTGCCAACGCCTACGTCTATCATAGAGGTAATGAGGACGTAATGGAGGAGGGGGGAGTAGGCCTTTGGAGGGAGATGGAGTTGCAGGAAGAGGGGGATGGGACTGTGGAGGGAGGCGTGGATGTTCAGATTTTTTCTAAGTGCTGTGTGAAATGCAAGAAAGGTAAGAGTTGCTTTAAGAATTATTGAGTGATAGCCAAAAACATGATTTGAGAGGTAACACTGACCTTGACCTTTGACCACCAAATCCTAATCAGTTTCTTCTTCAGTCCAAGTGGACACCTGTGTTAAAATTCAAGATATTACCTTAAGGTGTTCTGGAGATATCGGGTTCACAAGAATGAGACGGATACAAGATTACAGTAACCTTGACCTTTGACCACCAAAATCTAATCAGTAAATCGCAACCATCTTACTTTTGTGACTGGTAGCCTATAATACTCTCTTACTTTAATTGCAAGTCATATTTTTTACCAGGTTGTCCATGATTATATAGCCTGCATGAAACAACGCTAAAGAAGGCACGGGCAGAAATATCTAAAATGCACTTACAGTATTTCATCTTCAGATCACTGTTTATACCACTACAGAACCATGATAGTAATATCTACTGTCACATAACAACATAGCCCAGTTTAAGTGCAGTCGGATTCCCTTAGGACCATGGTTGTCTTTTCCTAAGTCCTTATGAATTCTCTGTCACATGTCTCCTTAACCCCATGATGTTTCCATCGGGGTCAAGAAAAAGTGGTTAGGAAAAGACAAAGGACATCATGTTTTGATTATTTGACACAGGTCTCTAAAAACCTAGTTAATAACTGATTTGTTAAAAGACTCAAATAGGTCTGGTGTTTTTCCCACTGACAGTCAGTACGTTTACATGATATTAGCCACAGTAAATTTATTGTGTTAGCCTGACTAAAACCGGACTTTTAAAATACAAGTAAACATGTTATTCTGACTGAAATTGTACTATATTGAATTTCTCAAAGTTGGACTAACACATCCAGATAATGTGATTGGGAGCAGAATTTCTCCTGCATGTGCACAGTCAGTCAGACCCAAACTGGCCTAGGTGCTCTGCATATGCTCCACAGTTTCCACCCTGGGCTTTGACCTTGAAGTCGAATTACATTAAATGTGTAACAGAGGAAGACACCAGTAACAGCATGGCGAAATCTACATCCAGAGCTGTGCATTTTTGGATGGACATAATGTACAGAGTTGTCCAAAGCAGTCCACCATGGTACCAGTTTGCCACTAAATAACCATAGCTAACTTGTTTGTCGATTGTTTGGTCTGTGATGTAATAGGTCAACCAGAAAAAGGTCCAGTACTAACAAGCTGAAATGGGACATATCACCACTTACCATAGAGGAGTCGGACATACTTTGGTAATTAATTGATTTCCCACCTGTGCTTGTATACTGGTACAAGGACAGACGTCCAATTAAATGGCCTTGTCAAGCTATAAATGTAGCTCCATTAAACTGAATTGAGTTTTTCCCCTGGATAGAAAGCTAATCAACTAACCACAGCTTTGTAAGCCAAATTAAGAATGGGGTTGTTACCGTCCCATCTAGCTAGCTAAAGCAGTGGCAAATAAAATCACGCCCCTTTCCCCAACCCAAATGCACCATGCCACACCACATAAACTGTTCAGGAATGTCTTGATGAACAGGACAAAGAGCTTGAGGCGTCTACCTGGCCTCCAAATTCCTGAGATCCCAATCTGATTGAGCATCTGTCGGAAATGTGCGTACCCCACCTTACAACCCACAGGACTCATGGACTTGCCACCAACGCCCTGGTGCCAGACACCACAGTGATGTGTCGTATTAGGGGTATCAGTACATCCCACAGATGCTCTATCAGATGTTAGGGCTGGCTCAGGCTTGCCCTGTACCAGCCCCTAGTTAGGCTGACTTAGGCCTAGTCTGCCGGAGGACCCCCCTATAATACACCGGGCACCTTCTCTCCTTCTCTCTCTCTCTCTCTCGTATTCTATGACTGCATCTTGCTAACTCGGCCATTCTGGATGTCACTAACTCGGCTTCTTCTCCGGAGCCTTTGTGCTCCACTGTCTCTCAGGTTGACTCATATCGCAGCGGTGCCTGGATAGCGTGACGTGTGTGGTTGTGCTGCTGCCGTGGTCCTGCCAGATGCCTCCTGCTGCTGCTACCATCATTAGTCATTAGTCATACTTCTGTTATTATACACATATGACTATTGTCACACATGTATACTGCCAGATATTAATACATACTTTCAACATATTGTACCACAGTAGCCAGAACTATAACTATAATATTATTACTTTCAATAATGTTGTTGTAAGCTACTGTCATTACCTGCATATCTCTCTCTCTCTCTCTCTCTCTCATTGTGTCATGCGGATTACTGTTAATTTATTATGCTGATCTGTTCTGTACGACATCTATTGCACGTCTGTCCGTCTTGGAAGAGAGATCCCTCCTCAGTTGCTCTTCCTGAGGTTTCTACCGTTTTTTTTCCCCGTTAAAGGGTTTTTTTGGGGAGTTTTTCCTTATCCGCTGCGAGGGTCCAAAGGACAGAGGGATGTCGTATGCTGTAAAGCCCTGTGAGGCAAATTGTGATTTGTGATATTGGGCTTTATAAATAAAATTGATTGATTGATTGATTGATTGATCAGATCAGGATCTGGAAGATTAGGCCAGGTCGACACCTTGTGCTCTGTGTCACGTTCCTTGGGCCATTCCTGAGCAGTTTTTATGATGTAGCATGGTACACTGTCCTGCTGGGGGGGCACTGCTATTGGGGAATACTATTGTCATGGGGGGTGAGGGTACCTGGTCTGTAACAGTGTTTGGGTGGGTGGAGCATGCCAAGTGGCATTCACATGAATACCAAGCCCAAGGTTTCCCAGCAGAACATTGCATTGTGACAAGATCAACAATGATATTCACTTTACCTGACAATGGTTTTATTGTTGTGGCTGATCAGTGTGCACCGCTGTTGCTGTCAGTAGACTTAAAGAAATTACATCTCTTAAATTGACATATGATTGTTGTAAAAACAACTGCTCCTAGCAGCCGCTACCACAGCCACTGTGTTCTGTGTAATGATAAATGTGATGGCTAAATGATCACACTACAAATGCATTTATTATCTTAGGAGAAAAGGTATTATAAAAAAACCTCAATAAGTAAAACATTAATCGTAGTTGAGCTAATAAGACACTATTTAATCATCAACCATGGATAGACATGGTGATCTCGAAATGTCATGCAGCAATTTTATTTTTATATCATTCTCAGTCAACAGTTTCTCATGATTATCAAAGAAAAATGCTGATGTCTGTAAGATGACTTACAACAACCTGTGCAGCGGTATCTACCTCATCCACACTTTTCGAAAATTGTTCAGGCTATTATTCTGCTGCCATTTTTCATGGATGTAGCTTAGTAGCTAACTAGTTTTGTAGAAGGACGACATGTTGAACTGTTTCTCCCACAAGTTTTACCAAAATCCATAAATCGCACAACACCAGACCTACATGAATCTCTGAACAAATCAAAGATGTGGGCTGAGATGCAGAGGTCTGGAACCAGCTAAGAAAACAACCACAGACACTGAGTGTATCAGTACTGAACAGATGTATGCAGGGAACACATTTTGGATTTTTTTCATGGGGCAAAGGCATCATAGATATTCTCCCAAAGTTAGCTTAATAGAAAGATGTATTGTTCACTCCAGTTACATACAGATTAGCCAGATATTTATATTTCATATGCAAGTTCGTAAGGCTTGTTACATTCAAAACTCAAAGTGGACACACTGTATAGAGTGCACTATTTATCAGTTCGATACATCATTACTATGTAATAAATTGCATCTTGAGTGCCACATCATTGACAGTAACTGTTCAGGGTTAATTGACCTTAATAAATAATCACATTGAGTTTCTTTAAAGCTGCACTAATCAAGATTTTTATATTAATGATGGATCAAATGACTGTGTGTAGCGTGAAAGCGGTCATTTGTGGTGATGAACACAGAGAATTATCACTAACTCCGAAGCACTACAGAGCTTTCTAACTTCTTCAGCTCACTGTTTTGGTTTTACGGTCCAAAACTCTGCTCTTATCAACTTCATTTCTAGCAGCAGGCAGCTGTTTGAAGTAAAAAGCTCTGAAAATTTCCTGTACACTACTGCCCAACTTCAAAAAATTAAAATTAGTCACTGTTTGCAAACATGTTAGTCATATCAACTTTACACGGTGTTTACAGGTTGTTCCAAAGACTGTGTACTTGTACAAACTGCACTTGACATCTCCTTCACTCTTTGGTTGTTTTTGTTGTACTGATTTAGACAGGACATCTTAATACTTTTATCATTTATTTGTACACAGAGTTTGTTGATATTATGTAATTTCCAGCATAGCTCCACCAAACTTGACAACCTGACTGGAGGTCTGATCAGCCAGAATAATCAAAAACACCTATGTGGGTGAACAGGGCTGCTAACTAAAAGGCTTGTAATGAAGCACAATAGAAAAATTCTTGTTATAACATTGTGACAGATTTATATTTTTAAGAATGATTCACAAATAAGAAAATGAGCACTAGTGTTAGGAGTCTTTTTGGTGGAAAATAATTAACACAGAAACAGTTACCTAAAGTGCCATCACAGATCCTTTGTATAACTGACAACCTACGGCCTACATAACAAACAAACCAGCATAACCAACCTAAAGATACAGTATATGAAATCTAGGAAATTCAATGCAAACCATGTGATGGAGTGTGTGCAGTACAACTGAAGAGGGTTAATAATGTAGACAAATAACAGAAAAACTGTTTTGGATGAGGAAGTCTGGAGGGCAGTATGAAGGCAGCAGATCAGTCTGGAGTCCAGACCTGGGGAAGAAGACTTTAAAGATTATGAGGTATATGAACCTGCTGGGCCCAGATACTCCTCACATACGCGCACACACACACACACACACACACAAAAACATGCATGCATGCATGCATGCTCAGTCCAGCTTCTCCTTGTGAACCAGTTTGGGGGCGTCCACAAAGTCTTGGCCGTTAAACAGGATGATAGTGGCTGTAATCGCACTAGCAGCCCCCCAGAACATCACATAAGCCAGGGTCTCTGTCCAAGTGTCACCTGGAAAACATATTGTAGTCATTTAGTCTGGTTTTCAAAACCACAACTAGAATTACTGGCACACAATTGTATGCCTCCACACACCAGTCATGTTTCTCTTACAAGTTACATCCATGTCTGTGAAAACCTGGATGCTTCACACACAGCTTCTCCCCAACAGCACAGGGAATCTATACAATCAGCACAGTTACAAGTTGGACACCCAAGATAAGTGTCACCAGTTCTGACTGGGGCTGGGTATCGCCACTGATTTCCTGAATCAATTCGATTTCGATTCAAGGGGTCCCAATTTGATTTGAATCCTGATAGTGATTCGATAGTGTAACATTTACAAGGAATTATTTTTTAAAAAGAATAAAATCACAACAGGAATAAAACTGAATATGTTATAACTAAATGTTGTTTCTAGAACAGCAATTCAGTATCTGACCAAATGTCTCCCCTTCTGTTCCTGAGTTGTGATGTTCAACAATGGCCAGAAAAGTGTTTTTGCAGAATATTATGATGTTAAAGTGAAGTTAACCTTTGACCTTTTGGATATAAAATGTCATCACCTCATCATTTATCCTATTAAACATTTGTGTGAAGTTTTGTCATAATTAGCATAATTGCTGTGGTTTTGAGTTCTGGCCAAAACCATGTTTTGTGAGGTCACAGTGACCTGACTATCGACCAGGCCAGACTTCAATACTGAGGGTTAAAAGGGTTTTCTTCATAAATTAAATGTAACACAGCATGCCTTAGAGATTAACAAATGGTCATTTGGTCATGGGTGAAGTATTCCTTTAAGTGTCAGCATCTGGAATACTGTCGCCCAACATCTCTCTGACACAAAATGTGCATTCCAATACCCATACAACCATACTATATAGTATACCAGAATGTATGTCCCAATACGTAGTATGTCAATTGCAGTATGCCAAAAATACCAGGATGTTCTACGACATCCAGTCGTATTTTGCAGTATGCAAGCCAGCATGCTTTTCTGGCTGTTCTGACGCACAATCCTCTGCACAGATGAAGATTTGTCACATCACCAGAGCTGCCAAGAGATGCCTGCTTGTTGACAGCTGCTTGACAGCTCTCAGAGGCTGCAATAACAGCACATTCAAGTAAGTGATGACTAACCCAGTAGTAAAAACAGGAATATTAATTGTTGAAATGAACAAAATAATCATATACAGTACAGGCCAAAAGTTTGGACACACCTTCTCATTCAATGCGTTTTCTTTATTTTCATGACTATTTACATTGTACAAAACCCAAAACCAGTGAAGTTGGCACGTTGTGTAAACCGTAAATAAAAACAGAATACAATGATTTGCAAATCCTTTTCAACCTATATTCAATTGAATACACTGCAAAGACAAGTTACTTAATGTTCGAACAGGTAAACTTTGTAATTTTTTGCAAATATTAGCTCATTTGGAATTTGATGCCTGCAACATGTTTCAAAAAAGCTGGCACAAGTGGCAAAAAAGACTGAGAAAGTTGAGGAATGCTCATCAAACACTTATTTGGAACATCCCACAGGTGAACGGGCTAATTGGGAACAGGTGGGTGCCATGATTGGGTATAAAAGCAGCTTCCCTGAAATGCTCAGTCATTCACAAACAAGGATGGGGCGAGGGTCACCACTTAGTGAACAAATGCGTGAGCTGATTGTC